AGTGGGTACATTTAGGACTAAAAACTGAGTTGTTAATGAGAAAAATGAAATGCTTGCATTATGCTGCCTGGAGCCTGTAATCTGCAGAAGATGCATGCACTCTATAGATTTAAGGAACAGACTTTTTTTATTTAGCAGGAAGATATGGGGTAGGACAGATCAACACCAAATTAGAAAACTCTGGCTTTGTGATTCATGGTGCTTGGATTTTGTGGAACAAATGGATTAAATGCAGTGAGATTTCCCATTGGTTAAGAGTACTTTACAGTTGCATTCTAATACAATACCTTTAACCAGCGATGGACAACCACGGCCAGTGAGTGGGCCACATGAGTGTTCCTCCATCTCAGAGGGCTAACAAGACTGTCGTAACCAAAATGGTCTCCCAGGATAGTGTAGTTTTGCTAACTGCACTTCTGCACGTAGAATTTGCGGAGTGTGACAACTGAACCGTAACTGTATTTTGACTGGAAGCAGAAGGAGCGCATGGTTTTTACAGTCTACATTGTGTGCAATCAGCATTCACCTCACTCCATGTGCCCTTGTTTTACATGCATGTCATGTTAGTAATACCGGTAAGAAAAAAAACCTACGTGGATGTAAGCCAGCGGAATCTGGCAACCCTGCCTGTGGGCAACAGTAAACAAAATGTCTCAGGCCACACACAGAACCCTGATGAGCACCTTGCGGGCCCCCCGCAAAAAACAAAACAAACCCCAAACCCTCCCATATTAAAACCGCACCCAGATGTTTCTTCACAAAATGTATCAAGCTGTGTGGGAGGCAACCTCAACAATATTGCTATAACATAATTACAAGATTAAAGGATTCCCTGAGGTCACATCTGTCTCATAGTAGCACCATTGTCCAGACTCTGGGATCAAAAAGAAAGGTGGGGGTTTAACATACAATAAATGTATGTCTATGTTCTTGAGCCAGAAACATGATGGGCAATCTTCACTTTAATTTTCCGAGCTTTATTGAACTGGACAGCATGAATAGTACATTTAAATGCTTGGTTACCTACATCATACAGTTGTTTGCTTAGTTATTTAAGGTGTATTATGAAATTTGCAACTTTTTGCTCCATTTAAACAGGACAAAGAAGAATACATGAAATTATTTTCTTTCAATTCCATGGTCCATTGATATGGTATTTTATTTATTCAAAGTACTATTCAAATAACAATTCCTGAGATAAGTATCAGTGATTCCTGGTGGAAATAAGTTCTTATGGGCATGTGAAGGTTTGCTAGTGTATAAATATGGAGTCTTTTTTGTTAAAGATCTGGAAAATGCTACAAATATTTTCCATAGTTTGCACGCAGAAGGAATTCTTAATATTGTCATTATACTGATATTTCTAGAACAGCAGAAGTACCATAGCAACAAAGATAGAATATCCATTCTCTAAACCTATCAGTTTTCTGCAGTGACAAGAGCCCAAGCTCCATATTCAAGTGATCAAACTACAAAGAAATGAAACTTTAAAGAAAGGGGGTTTAGAATTCTTGTTCTTTATCTCCTTTAGGCATGTTCTCTTTGGATAGTTGTTCTTACAATGGTTCAGTCAACACCAAAGCCAGAGTCTCCACACAGATACAAGACCAATCCTGCAAAAACTTATATGTATGAGAATGTGTGCTTAATATTTATGTGTACGCAGAACTAGTCCCGACTTTTGGTACATTTAAGCAGTTGAGTTCCCCAGAACTTCAAAACAAACTCAACAAACTGCTAGTTGAAAGAAAATGAACAAAGTTAGCCTGGCTTTTCCTGACAGGACAAGCCCTCCATTTCCCAGTATATTTAATGGAAATTACAATAATGAACTAATGATATGCCAGAGTAAATGTCTTTATCCAAAAGGTTCCACAGAACTTTTAAAATGTTTATAGTTGCCCTGTAATTAGCTCTGCAAAATACTTTTGATTAAATCTAGACAAAACTATACACACAAAGCAGGGCCACATAAGCCTCACCAACCCTCACTTTCAAGAACGTTGCTTTGTTTAAAAAACAAATGTGAACTTCAGATTTTTTAAATTCACTGGGATTGGTCCTGCCTTGGGCAGGGGGCTGGACTTGATGGCCTCCTAGGGTCTCTTCCAGCTCTATGATTCTATTCCTACTTCCGTAGGATGAGAGAAAAGGAAATTATTACTTCTCTCTGTGCGTTGCCCTCTGGAAGTGGTGGAGTTCATGGTTTTGTTTTGGTTTTTTAATTATAATTAACTAGAAGATTTACCTGGCGTTGCTTAAGTCCTTATTTTTTGTTTTTCTTCATTTAAGTAATTTCTCTGGGGTAGACATGGGACTGAGGATGTTTAAAGAGTTTGCAGGCTTCCCTGGGAAGAGACGACTACTCCAGCCCTTCCTCTCTGCAGCAGGTTGGGGCCAGGTGAGAAGTACCTCTCCATGGCCACCCCAGCAGGCACAGCTTGGGGAAGGGTGCATGTCCCAACTGTAGGGCAGGGTCCAGGTTCATCTTCCCTCTACACTCCCCAGACAGAGTGAGGAATGCAGAAAACTGTGCACTTTCCTCTGAGTCCCTGATGAAGAGGACAGCCAGCAATACTCCCATACAAATCGGGAGGGCGTGGGGGGGCAAGAAGACCTTCAGTCCCCCCCTCCCCCCCCTTCCTAAAAGGCGCTTGGGAGTGGGAGTCTTGGGGCTGGAGCAGTCCTGGATGGAGGGGGAGAGCATGCCCCTTTCACCTGTCAGGTAAGTCGGTCTCTTTTCTGTATGGTTTTAGAAGAAGCAATTCCATTCCATGCTAGGGATTTAAATATCGGTTAATTGAATAGTAGAGTAACCTCATGAAATGTTATCAGTTAGTCTACTATTCTATAGACCCCCGGGACAGGGCTGACAGCCACTGTATCAGAGGCAGCAGCGTGAGGTGCCAGTTGGGAAATGGTTAAGGTTGCCAGGTATCTGGTTTTGAACCGGACAGTCCGGTATTTGAGCTTTCTGTTATTATCATGAGTGTCAGTACATAGCTGCATACTGCCTGGCTGGTAGACACGCTCACACTGCATGAGCATGTCTACCAGCCTGGCAGTATTCAACTATGCAGTAGAGAGGAGGGGAGTTGGGGCGGGGCAGGATGGAATCCCCGGGGCCAGACTTGCCCATGTGCCCCCAGAGGGACAGTATGCAGGACTGGCAGCACCCTGGGATCTGTGTGCGCCCTGGCCAGCCCCGCTTCCCACCGGCCGGGTCCCCCCCCTCC